GCTGCAGAATTGGCGGCTCCTCAAGAAGGGCTCAGCTCCATGAGTAAGTAAGTAAGTAAGTAAGTAAGTAAGTAAGTAAGTAAGTAAGTAGTAAGTCCATTAAAGCATTACGTGTTCTAGCTGTGGGAAAATTATGCTCTGATACTTCTACCCCTGTAACCGCAATGTTTAAAATTCTCATGTGGATAACTTTTCGTATAAGCTTGGATGGGAAATTAATACTTATGTTCAACATGGTATTTTACCATACTTTTTTTTTTATGGAGACATGAAATACTAAAAATACTTGAAGCTTGTTCAGCCTGCCATGTTTGTTGGCAAATACGTATGAATGTTTGTATGCGTATGTATACACACATGGTAACTATACATGTATGTATATATGGGGTATACATGCATGTGTAAAGGAAAGTGACCATTTGCGAGGCTTGTAAGTTGCATCCATTCCTAGATCTCCTAATGGTCGTTCTTATTAAACGGATCTTATACAAATGGTGTTTGAGGATGCGGGTTGGATTCATCTGGCTTAAGATTGAGTTTACTGTTCAGCTGTTGTGAAAACGATAATGGGCATTCGGTTTCTTACAACGCGGGGAATATCTCGACTAGCTGAACTGAGGAAGGATTCCGTTCACAGGCTGTGTGAAGCTTTACGCACATTTGTGTCCCTGTGTACAACGTGTAAAACAAGCGTTTTAAAACAGCTGCAGGGACTGAAGATATAGCCAAGCTTATTTTTATGTCATCTTCTCGCATTTCTGGAGGTAATCTAAACACACACTGCATCCACTACTTGCATTTCTGCCACTCTCAGTTCTCGTAGCACCGTTGCTGGGATGCCGGGAAACCTCACACTCAGATATGTAAAATGTGTTATAGCGTCCGTTTGTAGAATGCGATAGGTCGGTATTTACCTGAACTTCTATTTTAAGGGAGAGGTAGGAAGGAAGGAGAAGATGCTCATAGGACGGACAATTAAAAGAGATGGGAAAGGATTACGAGAAAAGAGAAGAAAGGACATAAAGGAAACGGAGAAACGGGCGAGAGAACTTTTCATATAAAAGACAGGGAAGGAAAAGGGAAGGAAGAGGAACGACAATAGGAGGGGCAAATGAAAGAGCTGAGGAAGTAATAAGGGATTGAGAGGGAAAAGGGCTAAGAGTAAGAACAAGTTAAAAAAGAGGAAGAAAGAGAAAAAGGAACTATTTTAACATAAGCGATTGAAGGATGGAATAGGGTGTAGGACTGACGATAGGACAAGAAAATAAAACGTATGAAAAAGGAATACGAGAAAAGAGAGAAGGAGGTAAGGTACGACACATTATAAGAGACTTCTCACTAAATTTTCAACGGGCAGTCCCCTATTTCCAGTCGTAATACTGTGGAATATTCGCTCAAAGCAAGAACTATGGAGTCACAACAACTGGCCGTTACTAGGCAGCGGCCAGTAAACAACAACAGATGAATCTTGTTTTCTGCACAGTCCGTGGGTATGGCTGCGCACGCAACGATGGAATACGTCATGCCATCGCTAAGCAGCAATTGCACTGCAACAGAGGAGCGATGTTTTGTCAGTCAGATAACTGCTGGGGTTCAGTTGTGAGCTGATGCTATGAAAAGCAGGCAGCTGAGGCCGGGTTCAATTCAGGAACCCAGAGGAAGGGGGACGTCCGCCGTTGGACGCCGCTACCAAGCAAGGGCTAGTGAAGACTGAGAAGACCTAGTGTGTCCTAAACTGATTTGTATAGAACAGTGAGAGCATCATCCTTACTTGTAGTTACGAGTTGTAAGAATTCGGTGAATCCAATTACTGATCCACACTCCGTCTAAGGCCACTAAAATCATGACAGTACAATACATCGTCTCCAAAAATGCGGAGAAAATATCACGTTTTTATCTATAGTCAGCAAATATATGGTCTGTGAGAATTTGTACGAAAGTTACCCTGTAAAAGAACTACCCAACAGACTAAGAAGTTCAGCTTCCATTGTCTATCAATTGGGGAATCGATCGCCATGGAATTTTCTTCTACTTGATCTCTAGAAAGGTTACGCGGTGAACAGCAGAGTAGCAGGACATATCTTTTCTCTTCGGAAACCGTTTCATAACAGAAACCGTCTGAAATATTGTCATCTTACCAGGAGTGAACTAGGATGTGTTTACGTACAGTTCGGTGTAGCTTTAGCGTTATTACGCTCACTCTCGAAAACGTAATTACATGATAGGAGGCAATATTTCGTACGAATGTGTCTACCAGTTTTTGTTTTGACATTAGAAGAAGAACATAAACTGAAGGTATTTGAGAACAGGGTGCTGAGTAGACTGTTTGGACCTAAGAGAGATAAACCAGTAGGAGGTTGGAGAAAATTACATACTGAGGAGCTTCATAACTCGTTCTCTTCATGAAAGATAATTAGAAAGATGAAAAGGATAAAACGGGCAGGGAATTTAGCACTCATAGAGAGGAAGACGAATGCATAGGACTCAATAGGGCTTTGGTGGGTAACCAGAAGTAAAGATACCACTAGGAGGATCTAGGCGTAGGTGGGAGGATGATACTAAAATGGAAGTACGATGTGGTATGGGCTGGATTCATCTTTCTCAGGATAGGGACCAGTGGAGGGGTCTTCTGAACGCGGTAAAGAACCCCTCCGTTCCGTACATTTTTGGGAAACTCTTGAGTAGCTGAGCGACTGGAGTGTAGGACCTTACAATGGCATCATCTCCACGCGGTGTGCATCATTTTCGCAAACGAGGAACTGAAGACCAAATGAGATATATATGTGAATAACGTCTTTTGTGATACGGTATGCAGGATTCAGCAGTGCGCTTTGTTTTGTTCCGATAACTTCGAACAATACGGTTAAGTCGAGCGAAGGCCTTGTACTCACTCTCCTATCATTTCGTTGGTGATGTTGAAGTCCAGTTGTTTCAGAACAAAGGGATCCAGAACTGGGAGTTCCAGTGACGGGTGCGGGTACTTCATCTTTCCCTTGAGGTATTCGACAAACTCAGAGATGATGGAGTCGTCAGGATACACTATCTTCTCTGGAGGGAAGATCTCTCGAACACGCCCAACGGTGCCCACTGTAATTTGAACTTATTAAAGCCACTGATGTTTGATTGGTCGAGTGTTACTGTTACTTCATGGCCCGTAAGGTAAAGTTACAGGACCCACAGGTCCCCCCTCTACCTCTCTTCACAGATTCCTAGGAAAAGACAAATCATAGATACAATATTCTAATTAACCACTTTTTCATAACTACTTTATAGGAATTCAAAATAATACAAATAGTAACGTATTTAGGAGTGACTAGACGGAGTATGGGGCACGCTGTAGTGTAGTTGGTTGAGGCACTATGCTACAAGCAGGAAGGTCGCGGGTTCGATTTTCGATGAGGGTATTGGATTTTTCAGTTGACCTAATCCCTCCAGCCCTACTATAGCCCTGGAGTTGACTCAGCCTCTAACAGAAATGGGTACCAGGAATCTCCCTGAGGGGTAAAGGGTTGCTTGCGCGTAAGGCTGAAAAACTCACCATCATCTGAGCAGATTGTCTAGAAAATGTGGAAGCCTCGACGTCTCACAACCCTATGAGTCTCACGGCCTGTTGCAGAGATAGCTTTACCTTTGCTTTGTAGACGGAGTATGGATTGATGCATTAATTTATTGACCATTTATATACACAACTCGGAACTACATACACTTATAGCACTATCGATAATCTCCACACTTCAGAAATCACTACATTCTAAGTCTTCTCAGTTTGGTGTCACTGGTCATTTCCTGGTAACGGATCTTAATAATGAAGATTCTACCCATTTCCGCGCTCTCGTCCTTATTGTTCCTCGAATATCCAGCAACTGAACTGTTGTCAACTGTCAACTATCGCGCCATCTCTTCTCAACCTTCCTTGCAGAGCTCAACTGAACTGCCAATCCTTAACAGAACTAGGTCCCTGACTGGCGGCCATTTCACACCAACCTCCTGGTCTTCTTTTTACAGGCTGATTTTCACTCACCAACCATTTCACTTCATTTCACTTCTCTTCACTCAGCTCAACTGAACCGCCTTCAGCCATCCTGGGGTCCTTGCTGTATAGCCTCGGGGCGCACTCAGCAGAAAACACCGCCTCCAGGAGCCCCGCTATTGTTATGGCCGGTTGCTTAGCGATACCTCGGATATCGTTAGATTTGCCAGATAAATTTCAAAGTTTCTCATAGCCGCCATATTTGTAATTGCCTACTTACAAAGAATACCTCGTTCACGATATTTAGATATCCTTTGTTTCCATACCAAATTTCACGCGATGTCTCCAAGAGTTTATATTTATTTCCATCAAACCGAAAGCAAAATATATTTTTCGCACGGCCGCCATGCTGTCATTTTATATTCCGCCGAAAGTATCTCATGTACGTAACATATTGTAACGTGTTTTGCTACTGAAGACGCCGTTCGGATTGTTAATTGATTTATTTAACAACCTACAAGGAGTAACTACAAATACTTATAACACAGTTGCGGGTTTACCCAATTTATAAACACTAAACAATAATCTAGTTACTCTGTCTTCAGTAGTCTTCACGTATTTATAACGTGGGAGCTACACAAGTCTCTCTTAATTACACACTCCCAATATAACTGTACTACAGCACACATTCTTGAAGTCACACAATAAGTGTTCACTTGCTGACTTCTCAGTTATCGCACACTATCACATAAGATCTTCTAACCACGCGTTCGGGTTTTCTTTCCGCGACTGCTGCTATATTTTAACTGTCTTTGGCGGCTGCTACATTTTAACTAACTCCTTAGGCAGTGTAGTTCTCTTATAAACCCTCAGCCAGACAACGGAAAGCGCCTCGCTTCCCTGTTGCCTAGTCGCCGTGTTTACAGGTGTTGTCGCCTGTTACGTCACAGTGGGAAGCGCTGCCACGTCACCGCGGCGGAGGGGGCGGAGTGTTGACTGGCCTGTTACCGTAGCAGCAAGAGCGCTTGATGTTGTTACGTCACCGCTGGCGGGGGAGGCGATGTCCTCCATAGAGCAATACGTCACAATATTTTCCGAAGATCAATTGATATGCGTGATCTCAGGATCCTAAATCGTGAGCAATGTAGCCACCGCATTAGCAGTATGCAAGTTCGGTATGTTGCATTTTGTGATTTTAGGAAATTGGAAGGTATGCCATTGCGGTATCTCCAGTGTCATATTAATGCCAAATTTCGTGAAAATCCATGAAGTAGTTCAAAACATCGGAACACACAGACACGACCACAGCGATCATGGAGATTTCGTGCTCCTACTCGCGATTTTAAGGAAGGAGAAGCAGGTAAAATTTGTTCACACAGCAGCGTTAGGTACGGAATTTCATGGTCTTACCGGACCCAGTTCATTTCCTAAGCCTCACACAATCTCGTCTTCTTGGGTTGTGCATCTTGCTCTAAGATTTGTACCTAAACACGTTTCTCTAATTAAGTCGTAAGTTGTACGTTTTACTACCTAGATGATCTCGCGCTACAGCAGTGACACAGTCTATAACATACAGTATTTGTAATGTCATGCAGCACATACTTTTGATATGAATACAGTTCCATCCTGGAATCATCTGCACATGGACCCATCACGCTACTACGTGAATAAATTGCATTTTACTGTTGCACAACCCAAAGATAACAGCATCAAGCAAGTTCTCTTAGGCAGTAACACTGTCGACTGCCTTTCTGGAGGTGTCAGGTTCGAATCTAGGTCGAGGTACCGTCTATTCTGTCTGAGGATTTTTACAGTTTTCTCAGTTACTCTAGGTAAATGCTTAAAGCTACGCCACTGCCGCTTGTTACATATCCTCCTCGTTTCAAAATCAGTGTCATTCAACTTTTCGACTCTGTATAGTCCGAGTTACTGGCAACGTGGTTAAATAAACCGAAGATTCTAATTAAACACTCAATATTAACAAAGGATTTATAGGATTGAAAGTCTGTTCATTAAGAAAGTAGTTCTATGAGTTCTGTTAGAAACTGTGATGTCGATTAATATTAACCGTATCCGAAACGTCTTGAATGAAAATTATAGATCTTAGTGATTTCTGAATTTTCGTATCTTGTACAAATTCAGCTGAATTCGGCCAGCAGCATTTCGTGCACTACGAAATTTCTTGATCAGTCTAGTAGTTTCGGTTAAGAAACAAGCGAACCGCCTGACAGAAGCTGCCTGCTTTTACGCGTCAGTGTTTACTCTGTATTAAAGAAAAGCAAAAACCTCTAATCTTTCAACCAGTCTCTTCAGCGTCGTCATTAAATATCATCATCATTGGTAGTGGGCAAACTCAGCAGTTGTTACTGCGTCTTACTAGACCTCTTATTAATTGTATAACGAAAGCTTCACCAACTTACTTATCACATCCTTGGATGTTCGAGTGATCCCTGAAATCAGGTCCATCCATCTGGATTTTGGTCTCAGATCAGTGTCAGCAAGGGACACCAGAAGAGCAGCTATGGCCATCAGGACTGATATGATGTTCTGCAACTTCATGGCTGCATTCATGTGGAGGAAACATAAGCGTTAAAACGCTCTGCAGCAGGACAGAAAGTAGACTCCTTTCCAACTTATAAATTTACTGTAAATCCTGAATGCTTAATAAACGTTTATAGAGATATTAAACAAGGGAGCACAAATCTTGGATCGGATGCGGTAGGAAAATCCGTGATAGAAACAGATATCTTTGGTTTCATTGCAGAACNGTGTTTGCGTCCAATATTATGCATATAACTCTGTGGTAATTTGTATACTCGTAATATCCATACTGCGAAAGGTGCTAGAATCATAGTCACAAAAACCATGTTTTTTCGTTTTTTTCCCCTTGGCACTACAGCCCCAGTGGGCGTAGGCCTACCTCCATGAACTCAGTTCACGTGTTTTTTCGTTACCATGGATTATTAAAGCGCAAGAGAACATGTATTTGTGTTTCCAGCCTTGTATGAAACTAATTGTTTGGCAGCTTGATTTCGCCTGTCACATTGCCCTTCAACGTAATGCTAATTATGTTGAAAAGTATAACATTTGTCTTGACAGTGAATTTATATTTCGTATTTACTTATAATTAAGCTGAATCAGACATACTGATAAAACTTGCATACACAAGCTTTTAAATATGGCAATTAATTGCTAGATATTTAATTATTAACGTCATTCTCGATTCATTTCCGTCATCATCAGCAAGACCCTGAACAGAGACCGATCGCCACCATAAAGTACTTAGCAGAATGGATACGTATTCGGAAGCTCCCGACCTGCAGTCTTGATCACTTGACTGGCAGTGTTAACCGAAGGGTTTCCTGATATTCCTCAGTTCCTTTAATAAGTATTATGACATAGCGGCTGCCACGCTTACCCCACCTTACAGCCGATCCTAACTTCTGATGATAGTTTGCTTCTATGTAATTACACATCCATAATTTATAATCATCTGTTTCTCACAGGACGATATTAACAGTAGGTGAAAACAACCATTTCTGTGCACAGGAAAGTTAAAAATCGCTCTTCGCACATTTGTATAAAAAATAAACGGAACATACATTTATACTTTGTAACCAAGTAAGAATCACAACTATTGCTTTGTTTACATTGTGCATTTTTTATGCTGTCAGTATTTAGTGTTTTAAGGATAAGTTTTGACTGAAGTCCCTGTGACTCCTTAGTATCTGCTGCCGGGATCCTACAGCCGAGTTTGAAATGGTAAAGCATCGTGAAATTATCCAGAAACCAACCATTCAAATCGAAATTACGGAGCGATATGTTTACTTACATTTGTTCACAGTGGTTCAGACGATTTCGTTAAAGACGCCAAACTGTGGAACCTGCTATTCACAAAACACAAACGGATTATTTGTTCCTTTACTCTCGTCACAGTCCTGTAGATGCAGTTCATATCAACTGTTGCTCCACAAGGATCACACATTCCCGAAGTCGTATCTTATCTCGTGGTTCTCAGCTCTAACCTCGGTGCAATTTTCTACCCGGATCTTTTACCCTGTGTCAGCGCAAAGTTCAACGATAAACTCTGGCCATGACTCAAATCAGTGTCCCACATCACTGTTCTATCTAGGCAATAACATTGATCCAGTATGAGCCGCGCCATAGCTCAAGCGGTTAGTCGCTGGCTTCCCACCGCGGCGGCCCGGGTTCGATCCCGGGTCTGGTCAAGTGGAATTTGTGATGGACAAAGTGGTGCTGGGGCGGGTTTTCTCCAAGTACTTCGGTTTCCCCTGTCAATCTTCATTTTACCAAATTCTCCACCATCATAATCACCCGGGGCAGGTACAATAGGCCAATTAGTGGCCGCCGTGCCGAGTGGACCCAGCTTGACTCCACCCCCCACTAAGAGAATTAAAAAAATTATCCAGTAGGCCAATTTGTACGATTTTCTACGCCGTATGCTGCAAGATGTCGGGAGTCTCGCTTCCTGATAAAAGTTTTACAGTGGTTTTATCGGCCATCCGTGGAAAGAAATTACAATTAGAGGGCTATTATAAATGGTTTGGGTGTTAAGAAATTAGTGTTTTCTTCGGAAAGGTTACAGAGATAAACAAAACAAATAAACTAATGAAGTTTTCGTTGGCAAAATTAACTGTAACATATCAGCCAGAAGTGGAGCTCCGATAACTAAGTAACTTCATGGAGCTGAGTCCTTCCTCAGAAGCCTCCAGTCACGCAGCTACTCAACAACTTCCCAACATTTTATGAGACCCGAAAGTTCACTACCGTGTTCACAAGAGCCCTTCACTTGTCTCTATCCTGAACCAGATCAGTCGAGTCCATATCATACCATCCCATCCCTCTAAGATCCAGTCTAACATTATCCACCCACCTACGTCTTGGTCTTCCCAGTGGTCTCATTCTTTCTGGCTTATTATAGTCCACATAGATTAGTCACCACAAGATATGAAACCAAAAACTTTCGGAAAATATAGACATTACCACTACGATAACAGAACAGAACACAAAAAGATAGAATATTGTAGACACACAACACATCATTTTTAAAATATATTAACAAGAATCTGCCTGAATTTTAAAAATATACCTTTGGACTTAAACGTCTTGCTTGCTGTGAAATATTGAATTTATATATATATAGCAATTTATATGAATCATCATATACACAGACAATGGCCCCATGTGGCCAAAATATATACTAAGCTATCAGAAAGCGTGGACTAAGTAGTGCTCTAAGGAACAGTGCATGAAGTGTTGCATTTACAAAACCGTATTACACGTATGCATATCAAGTGTTCGACCAATGAAACGGGTTGGTCAAATATAAAGTTTTTAATTATCACTAATGCTTATGATTCAGACATACTCATATTACAGTCAGTACATATTATGATAGTTTAGTTAGTCATGAGGAAAACCGCACGGTAAATACTTCAATATTGCCGTTTTAAACAAACAGGATACAACCTACACGTACATGACTTTTTCGGGTTGAGGAGGATGTAATATCCGTGATTACACATCAGTCAGAGACTAACTATAGTAAAGGCGCCAAGTTGAATTTATGCCGTGATTAGTCAATTACAGCGTAATAATAATGAGTTGTGGATGAAGAGTATTTTGATTTTTTCGAAAGGTATAGTCTTGCAGTCATTAGAGTAACGATGTAGTTTGAAGTGTTAGCCGCGTGCCTCCGCCTGAGTACCACATTGGCTCTTTAGGCTCCCGAGCTCCCGAGGGGAGGACAGTCGCCAGCTGACGAGCATAATGGCGGTCACACGATCGTCTTTTGTGAGTGAAGGGTTGTTCTCTCCAGGGGCAGCCAGCCGGGCACCCGCGGACAGGCGAAATAGCTCACGGATCAAAGAGGAATTTCTTGTACTGTTTTATACTAAGATGTAATTTATGCAAGTAATTTCTTTTATTTGTTCAGTGGTTAAGAATTAGAATTAGATCGAGACAGAAGTTTGCCATTTCAGTTCAGAATCACTGAACTTACCAGGTAGTCATGAATTCAGTTCACTTAAATTAAGCTTCATTCATGTGTATTTTGTATCATTTCGCTTTACCTGTTCGTTTAATACAAGGTAACTTAATTACTAAGGATAGGGCTCGTATTTATTTGGTCAGGGATTTGGAAATTGATAAGTTATGTTGCCATAACTTGGGTACTCCTTTCGAAATCCTGCTAAGTACCTCAGCATTTAATCCTCAGTTTAGAGCACGCATTCTTCTTGCACAAGGGAAATGAATGCGGCAGAAATTCTTAGTGTTAGATTGTCGTATGTAACACTAAGAGGTCCCTGGTGTGATAATTTTCTAAATTTATGCCTAAGTAGTGAAATTGTCATTTGTACATTACTTTTTTTTTCGTAAATATTCCATCATTCGGATTTGTTTAATTTACCCCAGCATTTAAGTACTCTTTTCGTTTAATATGGGGGTGGAGTCCAACTGGGTCCACTTGGCACGGCGGCCACTTATTGGCCTATTGTAGCCTGCCCCGGGTGATTATGATGATGTAGAATTTGGTGGAATGAAGATTGGAAGGGGAAACCGAAGTACTCGGAGAAAACCCGCGCCAGTGGCACTTTGTCCACCACAAATCTCGCTTGACCAGACCCGGGATCGAACCCGGGCTGCCGTGGTGGGAAGCCAGCGACTAACCGCTTGAGCTGTGGCGCGGCCCTGTTTGATTACTCTTACTACTATTTTTGATTTATTCAAATGACACCACATATTTTATTCTTCACAACAATTTAATTCGCTACTTTGTTACCTTCTCTGTCTGTTACTTGTCGCTGATGATATCGCTAAACCATCCTCAAATAACAAGTCTGGAATGATGATTTCGCCTGTCGATGGAAATTTATTGAGTTGCCGAGCAGCTGTTAGCTTCTCATGAAGTTGTAGTTAGTTGTACATTTTTAATTTATTTAACGGAGCTTTTTCAAGTGTATGGGCTGTAGGGTGCGGGACAGCGTAGTTGCTATAGTGACTGGCTACGGGCTGGACGACCGAGCGATCGGAGTGCGAGTTCCAGCATGGTCAAGAATTTTCTCTTCTCCTCGCTGGCCAGACCGGCTCTGGGGTCCACTGAGTCTCATATCTAATGGGTACCGGGAGTCTTTCCCCGGGGGTAAAGCGGCAGGGGCATGAAGCTGACCACTCACCTCCAACTAGTGCCGAGGTCAAGAAAATGTGGCTCTATATCCTCTCCCACATACGTCTTCATGGCGCAGTGCTTAATTAGATAAGCACAGGACCAAGTTTAACATTTTATGGGCTATAGGGAAGGCCTTCTGTTCAGTCGGTAAATGGGACTCGAATCCAGGAGTAAAGCGGATGGGGCATGCGTGTGACAGTTTAACTCCATTCAGTTGCTGAGGTTAGGACTGTGTGAAGCTTCATCTTCACCGGTTCTGCATCTCCATGGCGTGGTTGCTGAGTACAGGAACAACTATACTTTTACCCTTACAAAACGGGAGAATAATTGTGACAAATGAATCGAGGAGGATTTGGAAAGAAACAGCTGTAGCCTAGTATTTGGAGGATAGCTATTCACATTCTCAGTCATTCACAGTTCTAGAACGGAACCCGGTACTTTGCGGATGGGAAACAGTAGAGCTAACCAGTAAACCAGTTATGCTCGATATATCGCAGGGTGTGTAGAATTATTTTTGGTTACATAATTCTCGTTTAGAATTATGTGTGCCGAACAACAAAAAAAGGTTCAATGCGTATGGAGTTAGGGGTTTTTAAATGCTTCCTCTATTGAGAACTAAAATTTTTTAAGATGCACGTTTTGAGAAGGCTTTCATAAATTAATCGTATAATTGGAGGTCATGTTACTATGGTATATACTAGTATATTCTCCGTAGCTGTATTATTAACGATTAAGTGAGAAGAGAAAAATTGGAACAAGAGGAGGAAGCTAAGGTCTGCAATTGGTTGAAAAGATTACAAATTCAGGAACAGATTGAAAGATAGGGTAGATGGAATGGACGAGGAAAAACGACAGAAGAGAGCATGGAGTTACAAACCTGCATCACGAAGAGTAAAACTAAACGTGAGGGATTTGGAAGAGAATATTTGTGTAGGATTTGAGGCTTTACCAGCGGTGGTTATGAAGAAGTATCTTCATACTTCATTGAAAGTCAACCGAAGTTTCAGAGGAACACGCCCCCTCCATCTTCAGCTCGACATTGATTGCTACTAGCTTCACGCTGATTCTTGCTTGGCTTATTCTTCGACCCTGAAGACGAAGTCTGCATGTTCCTCTGAAAAGTTGAATTTCAACGGGCTGCACGGCGTTATATCCCAGAAGACAGAATTTATCAAGAGGCTGTTCAATCTGATTAAGGCAGTACGAAAATAACGAAGACAAGAAGAAGATAGGAAGAATTTTATTTCAATTACACATTTTGTTTAGGTTTCCATCTCAATAAAGAAATAATACTTGTAGCTTTAAGCTTTTGACTTCGTATTTTCGAACACTAGTCTCTTTGTTAAAACACATAATAATTAAAAATAAAGTAATTTAAGAACATTCTGCTTCTGATGGTGAGTTGTATGGCGTTCACGGTGACGTATTACAGTTTTTTAAGTCCGCCGCCGTTGATCAAGTCCAGAAGATCCTGGAGGGTGACACCTTCCAATTTTTCATTTGCCAAATTTACGATGGCATCAGCGACTACTGGAAGAACCGATGGCTTGAGCTCTTCAAAAAGCTCTGGTGCCAAGTCGGAGATGATCTCATTAATCAAATTGCTAAGGTCTTCGTCGTCTCCTAGAAGTCCCTTAAAGTCAGTCTGGAAATAGAAAAGTAACAATATAAGCAAACTTCAGAATTCGCAACGTTATTTTTTTTTGAGCTGTTTCGTCATTTAGGTCTACTGATTATCATTCTCTACCGGAAGCTTTATTCTTTTACAACGAATCGTCCAAGATAGATGGTGTTTAATAATACCTCCGAACTAAAATTTAAGACGGACCTACTCTTCCAGGACTTTATAACCTCACATTCACAGGGTGAAGTGAGAGTACAAATGTTAAAAACAAAATTTGTGAATACTTGATTTACAAGCTTAAGTATCAAGTCACAGTGACTGATTAATCGAAAATATGTCGGACGATCGTCTCGCTGCCATTTTATATATTCCTGAAGAATTAATCATTAATAGTTTCACGCTCCTCAAATTCCCAGCAACGTAGAAAGACTCATGATTTCACTGACTTTATCCTCGAAGGACATGCTGTTCATCAAAATAGGCGAGTTAGGGCGGTCGCACACCAACTGCGTCAAGATAAGCATCAAGACATGAGACAAAAGACGCAGTATTGCTTCATTCGTGATTCGTCAGTATGAAGCTGACGTCAGCATCATGACTCAGACCGGTGTGCGGCGGTTTTCATAATCTCATTCGTTTCAACTGTGCTCCTTTCTTTTCGTCACGTCGCAGACATCGTGTCTGGACTGTTACATGTCTTGACGCATGCCGGTGTGCGGGCCTACCTAAGTGTTTTGATTTGAACCTAAGGGCTGGTTGACGAACACAGCTCGCTGATAGGCTTCCGAAGAAACACCATGCTTTATTGTGAGTTATTACCTGTACATCGAAGCATATCTTTATCTTATTTTTTAATTTTATCAGCGTAAATGGATGATAGAGACGTGATTTCATACATGCCAAAGCTTATTCCAGATTTTCAATTTGAATATTCAGCAGCCACTGAATACACACGTCTTATGATCAGCTGGTTGCTTCTCAAGAAGGACTTAATTCCATGGAGTTGCTTATTTGTGTATTTTTAATTGCAATGTTTATTCTTGAGAAAAGTGTCTGTATTCCTTATGTGATTATCCATCTTACGGGACGTAGGCGTATTCTCATAGTATAAAGACGCGGCAAAAATTTGTACAGCTGTGCAAAAGTAACTATCCTAACTTGTTATTTAATTTTTAGTTACTCAATTTAGCATTGTTTGTGAACATTAATCCACAATTGAAAAAGAAATCGGTTACGTTTTGTGTTGACTTAATATTTATTTATCACGGGATAAGTTGTGTTATGTTATTAAGTGCGTTTGGTATTTTCTTTTTGAGTGGATATGTCGACATTTTACCGACCGAGCGACCGCCGCTTGTCGGCGAAATTGTGCCAACTTCAGCGTATAGAGGATGTCGCGTGGCGAGCGCAACGAATCCCCACGGCCATTAATTTTGTGTTTCTAGACCGGAGCCGCTATTTCATTGAAATAGCTCCCACGAAGCTGAGTGCGCACCGTTCCAGACCCACAGGTTTCTCAGAAAATCTGGTAGTGCCGGGAATCGAACCCGGATCTCTGGATCTGTAGCCAGGAACTCTGACCACAGAGGCGGTCGGTATAGTTCGCATGCGGACTAAGACTGCGGAGTTTGTTTCTGTTTGTTTATGTCGACATTTTAAGGCATTCACACCCGTTTGAAAATTGTATCCACAGTTTCGAACACGCCTTAAAATACAGGTACACTTATAAGAGAGATTTCGCTTTGTACAGTGCCTAATTTGACCTGTGTTATGCCACAGTGGGAGAAGCACCTAATTCCTTTAATATAAATGAAAAGGGCAGGTGTAAAATCCCAATTTCCGATTATGGGTCTAAACGTACAGGCATATTAGGCAAATGCTAACGGAACACATACATGTGGTTACTCGTATAAGACCATTCATTCTCTACTTGAAATATTCTGTATGTAGAGCTTTGTTTACATTTTTGGTTAATTGAACTTTAAGTCACACTCTAACATTCACAGTAGATTACAGGCAACGGAAATTCTAGAAATACTTACTTTTATTTCTTCAAGAGTTACGTCCAGCTCCAAGGTTTTGACGTTAATGAAAGAATTACTGGATCCTAGCGAAATTTTAACTTTAATGACCAACCCTTTCACGGAAACTCTGAAATCAAATATTGATACTCATATTTTAATCACAAAGGCGTCATGTATTGATATTTATAGTTGAATTTACTAACTGGACACACATCCAGCATTACAACGCACGCAGCCAAAGAAGAAGGAAACATCACAAGACACAGTATACACAAAATATAGGAGGAACGACTCCCATAGCGGATGAGTGATGTAATACGAGTTTGAAATGAGACGTATAGGATGATAAATCTTAACAAATTTTAATATATATAGATTTTATTATGGTACATGAGGAATGTACATTTTAAATCATTTTATAAACCACACATGATGGCGAGCAGTGCAATAGTTTAACGTAAATAACACACCTGAGGATGGCACAGTGATGCCGAAACATGTAATGAAGTGACATGTGAGATTGTGTGCACTAGAAGACGGTCAACACATATATATATATAATGGACTAGATCCTCGATGTTGTGTATATTTTAAAGGAAACGTGATTTAAATTCACACGTTTACATCACAAGTAAGAAATATATCCTAGTTAATTACAAGTAAATACAGTATAATATAATAAACAAATAAAATAAATAGTAAATAAATAATAATAAAATAAAAATATAATGCATTGAAGCCAATGGTCAATGCTGAATATTACATATGAAGGAATTTAGCAGTTTACGCAGCTCAGATTTTATTGTACTTATCTTACAAAACGGCCAATCGAAGGACTTAGAAGAGGTAGGAGATTATTTTAAGAATACGTCTTAAGGAAATACGTTGTGAGAATTTGCATTTAAATGAACATTTTTCATATTTTGTCCAATTTCATAATTTAGTTTTAGCTGTATCAAACCTCTTGTTTATGTTAACAGAGATTAGTTGGTCATTCTGTTTTGATGTAGGCACATAAATTGTCAGTAGTTACGTTCTTAGTATCTAGTTAAGAGCTAATATTAGTGGTTTCAGAAAGTATAAGACGGAAAGCATATTTTAACTTTGACTGTGCTATGAACAAGCTGACTCACCTAGAAATAACGACAGCCTTTCTGAGAGACATTTAAGTCAGTCAGTACAATATACATAATTGTCTTGCTTTCTCTTCCTATATGTATTTGATTTGTCCCACAATATCCAAGTTATTATCGACATGTACAGATACAAGAAGCCATTTATGTTACCATAGAAACTGTTAGAATGTTGTCATTGCAGTTGAAATTATATTATGCAAATAACGGGAATTTATGATGTACTTTATGCTTATTTTATGTCAGATGCTTCAGTCTAAATGGCGAGGTTAAGAGGAAATAAATAATAATAATAATAATATGAGCTGTTTCTGTGCAATTTGTTTAAACTAATACAAATTTCGACTCAATTTTTTCCACATATGCTTATCTTCAATATTTAGCACCTCCGTCGTGTTTGTAATTCTTAATATATAATAAAATGCTTTGTGCATTGTTCCGTATATATGTTGGATCTACCTTCTGTAGAAAATTTCACCCTTCCATCTCCAACAGTTCGGTAGTTATCACCACGAAACTGAAAGCTGTATAGTGGGGTCTTCTTCCGTTGATGGATTGTGTCTTTCTGGCCTTGTAAACGACTAGCAGTTGGAAGGACTCCTTGGATAGGAGATCGGCCCGTCATAAAGCCGCTACCTACACAGGGCAACACAGGCATACATTCATGCTTCGAGTGGGATTCGAACCCACGATCTGAATGTTCGATGCCGTAGACCGCACGGTCACTGTGATATCGAGACCTGTTACCATGCAGTATTCTCACACCCTAGTTAAGTGGCGCTAGAATAGCTCCCATCTCAAGCGTTCACACGGCTAGCATGTTGGTGATATTTGTGGTAGGAACATGTAAGTACATGTCTAGTGGTGCCATGTTCATAACACATGTCATCAAGTTTGGTTTAATAGTTGGAGGGCAGCCAAAACAAACGTGTCAAATCAGGTGAAGTAGGAAGGTAGGTTAAGTAGTTGAATGCACTTACGAGAAGCTGCCTTCGCCGTGCACTGGCAGAAGACCCCCGACATTTCCTTCTAGCTTGTAGTGCTCTCCGCTAGCCACGATCTCGGGAACGCTAACCTGAGCCTCCACCCTCAGGAGCAGCAGATTCGTTTTCACGCTGTCAACTACAAAGGTAGAAATTTTCTCTGCCTGGGCGTTATCAACACTTCCTTTCAACCTATAAAGTAATCAGCATACGGTCATTCACCATGTACCTGTGATATTATTAGAAACAATGCCGGATAAAGTAATGGGGCAAGAATAGCTAGTGATTTCAGGGTAAGGTGTTAGTTTGGTGTGCATTCTGGGTTTCAAGACCAGCCATGTTCAGTATCTTCTGTATGTGGGAAGCACCAGGTGCTCTCTGTACCTAGTTAGTTAGTTAGAGGGTGGGTTTCCCAATGGACTGAGACCTGTATTGGTCCATTGTGCTTCCCTCTATGATTTCTACCAGTCTCTATATCCTACCGGTACTGGTGCTTACCATCAGTCCCGCCCAGCCAGCGAGACCGGCTCTACTAGCTGAGAGGTATCTATAATGCTTCCCCCATCTACCAGAGGTATTAGAGACTGCTGTTGGGCGGGAAACGTCCGTTAATTTGGCTCAGTGACCTCCTTTGGAGATATGAGGTTCTTTTACGTGCCGTAAAGCTANCCGGGTATTTGAACCCGCGTACTACGAGTCATGAGGTGGGAACGTTACCTCTAGACTACGGAGGCCGCTTCTCTCTGTACCTAAACTAGAGGTCTCCTGTGCTGCCGTCACCATCATCAGGTTGGACAAATAAGCCATATCAACACAACAGAATGAAGCAGGTAAGGGTGTAGTTATCCCCGTGTTTGAGAACTCGCGTTGAAGGAATATGACGGAGTAGCAGTTGAGACCCACCATTTCGAGATATCGCAGGAGTGGGATTCGATTTAACAGTCTCGTCGGGAAACTCTATACACCGTACCCCATGGATAGGAGGCTGGGTGGGCCACAGAACCAATATCAACACGATGGGGAAGAAAGTAATATGTACTTCTTCCGGAAATAGAATTATGGCCCCTTGCATAGGGAATGCCCTAAAGAACAAGCACAGAATCTACGGCGAGCTGTTGAAATTGCAACTAGTAGAAGGAGAGGAGAACTGCAGAGGAAAAGAGGACAACGAGCTTCCAAGGGATCTTCTGGAAGGGCGTTCTTCTCTAAATTCACCTCACCAGATCAGTCCTACGCGGCTGCACTGTGTCAAGACGCACAAAGCCAGGAAATATAAACATAGCAGACGTACCGGAAAAGCGAGAGGAACCCCGTGCAGCAGTATCTGCCACAACAGGAATTTCATAGAAGAGGTCTATCAGTACAGGCTCCGAGTTCGACCAACAATGCCATTTTAAAAATCGCTACTGTGCTTCAACAGATCTTGACAGAGCTCAGTGAAGCTGTGACAGAAAAAACAAGATAATGGTCATTATAAAAATGATACTCGATGAAATGATATGCCTGCTAGAGATCATAGGCCGCTCAAAGCCATAGCATTTAATGCAAATGGCATTTGGAGGCTGCGCTATGGTCCCAGTAAACAGCTGCAAAACTTACATATAGATGTGGCTCAGCATACAGAGACACACCTCAAACCCCATGAGAGGCTCTTCATTCCCAATTATCACTTTCATCAGACTGACCGTTTCCCGAGAAGAAAAGGTATTCGCCATAACAGTATAGACGTATGCTATATTTGCGATACGTACATTTGACAAAGGCGAAGCCTATTCATAAGAGACAAACCCATCCTCTCGTCAGAGATTATACTTATGGAATGAGGGCAAAGGTTCAGTTTCAGGAAAAAAATTCTGGTGATGTGCCTCAAGGGGCTTAGAGCCAAAAAGAACTAATTGACGGAAAACCGCCAGTCTTAAAGTAACACTGACTCTGACTGACTGTGACTGCCAAGGCCGTGTGGTACACAGAAATTAGTAAATAAATTGAAATTGAGAAAGGCTTATGGACTTTATGGCATTCCAAACGAATGCCTCAGGCATTTCCCAGGAAGAACACTGGTACATGAGGCACATTTATTTAATCACTGCCTTCGGCTGTCCCACTTTCCAAAGCCTTGGAATGAAGCATACATTATATCGCTACCGAAAACCGGTTAAGGACCCAAAATTCTCTCCAAATTTACATCCAGTTATCCTTTTGTCTACAGCAGGCAAGATACTCGAGAAAGTTATTCTGAAATTAATTTAAAGGCACATTGAATAAAAATGCCTACTTAATGCAAGACAGTTTGGTTTGCGTGCCGTCACAGCACGACACTTCAATATATGAGGCTTACTGACCACGTCACATTAAATTTCAACAATAACAAGCCTACGGCTGCGGTATTCTTGGATATTGAAAAAAACCTTTGATACAACATGACACCTTGACTTGCTATATAAGTGATCTGAGTTAAATTTTTCGATCAGTCTAATGAAGCTTATTAGCTCTTCCCTTTCTCAGAGAAAATTTAGAATCTCAGTCGAAGGTGAGATATATGTGCCAAGGGATGTACAAGCAGGGCTGCCAGAAGTTTGCGTCCTGCCCCTCATATTGTATAGTGTATATATATATAAATGATACGTCCCTCACAGCTGGTGTCTATTTAGGTTTCCTTCCTGATGACACCTACGCAGACTCCAAAGAGTGTTATATTCACAAAAAGCTGCATCGAGGTCTGTGCTATTGAGACGTGGTGTGAGAGCTGGAACATAAAAGTCTCTATGAAGATAAGACTCAGGCCATCTACTTTTCTCATCGACTTAGGTTCCATGAAGCTAGTGTTTCATTGAATTGATGGAATATCCCTTTGTCAGTCATGTAAAACATCTGGGTGTAGTCTTCGATAAGAGGATCACATGGATACTGCACATAGAAATGATGGAAGCTAAAGCCTTCAGAACATTTTTTAGAATCTACTCGCTATTCTCAAGTGATCGCTTAAGCGGCAACATTACACTAATCCTCCATAAGATACTGATTTGATCAGTAATGACTTGTGTTTGCCCCGCCTAACAATTAGCGGCAGGCATATAGCAGTGCCTGCAAAAGAAGGTTCTCTGCACCGCTGGTAATTTTCCAAGATGCACACCGGTCAGCGATTTGCACACGGATTTCAGCCTTCCATATGTATACAATTATATAACAAAATTGTGCAGGAAACAAGCAGATGTCATACAAAATCATAAGAATGAACATGTTCGCAGCCTAGGACAAGGCGAAGCCAGACATAGAAGGTATAATGGGCTTAAACTTTGCGGCAGTCTAGCTTATGACCGTTCAAGTGACTGTGCTGCCGTTGTAGAGTAAGAAAAGTAAAACAGACATGACCTACTTTGCAACGCCTGGACTGACAGAGGACTTGCATATAGTGCATAATGAAGAATTTTCAACAACATGATATATGGGCTATATGTGCACTTGACAAAGGCCAAGCAAATCCATAAGAGACAAACCCATCTTCCCGTCATAGGGGATGTTAGGTAACGACTATTACCGGAAGAGTTCAGTCGAAAAAGAAACTCTGGTCATTGGTCACAAGGGGCTTGACGCCAAGACGAACTGGATGTCTGTAAACCGCCATTCTTAAGGTAACTCTAACGAGCTGAGAAGAATTAGCTTGTACTGTAGTGGATTGTAAAGTGTGTAGATAAGTGATAGCGTTGTAATTACTTTTAGTTACGAATTGTAAGTGTTCAATAAATCCAATTACCAATCCAAATCCCGTGTCTAATAACTAAATCGTGACCATATCTACACCTAGGCAGTCGGTATAGCGACCTGATATGGGCTGGATGGGCGATAGGTCGAAGTTCGAGTACCAGTAAGGGTGAGATGTTTCTCTTCTCAACATCGTCCAGACCGTTTCCGTGGCCCAGACAGGCTCCTATCCAATGGGTACCGGAGGATATTTATCTGGGGGTAAAGCGATCCGGGTGTGAAGGACATTTCACCTCCAACTAGTGCCTAGGTCAAGCAAACATCGATCTGCATAAGCATTTCGACATACGCCTTCATGGCGTAGTGCTCAATTAGTTAAGCGCAGGGACAACTTTACTTTACTGATATGACAGACTATTTTAATAAGCCAGTTAGACGAATGAATATATTGGCATGAATGAACATCTCTTCTTTTTGTAAAAGGCATCTTGATTCACCACTCTTCTTAATATTTGAATGAATTGTTCATTCAAGTTCCCCATTTTCTTTGTAGACGCAATAAATGGGGAGCGAAAATAGGATTATGTCGCTTTAAAATATATAGTATTTTGCCGAAAATTGGTACTCGCATGGTGACAATTCAGGACCGCTGAATTTCAACATAAGTATTACTTTTTTGTTTTAAATCAGCGAGTGGGTATCATCTGTTCCAAACACATGCAAAGAACATACCCAAGATCATAAATCATGTCACAATATACTTTGTCCAGAAGGAAATTGAGTGGACAGAACACGGACAAGTGATCTGATATTTGTCATGAAGGAGATGGGAATCTCAGGGATCAGATCACCTGTCACTGTCCTAAGAACATGGAAGCAGCCATTCTCCAGCACGTGCTTTGCTTTCTGTTCAGGCTGTAAAAACAAAGAAATCCCCAGCAAAGAGAGAACATTAGTGCATTGCGATGAATAGGAGGCTGAGATCTTGCCTCTGTTTTCTTAGCACGTGTTTACGTTCACACGCTGATCATCTTCTATTAACTACGGCGTTCATGGTGTCTGTACAGCATCTGGACATGTTCTATATTCTTGAGTAAAATAACGGTCTTTCAGTTGGCTATGTATAAACAGAATAACCGCTATGTAACTTCTTTCAGCCTGTGCCATGAATCGCTTGAAAATTATCTGAACAGAGTCTTTGCCTGGAACTCCTAATAATTGCAGCTTCACTTACACTAAACCATCCAGATTAAGGTCCAAGTCCACGTGATCAAGCTTGGCAGGGTCCAGAGGTGGGATACCCAGTTCTTCAGATCCTTCGATAATTATTTGTCTCACTGTTGTATCCAGAAGATTTATGATTGAATCATCAAGAGCTGCCTTGAATCCTGGAGCCACGAGAGCTCTTAGCTGGGCCTCTAAACAAATATCAACATCAACAATAAACAACGGTATAATATATTTGATTGTTATTTTATGTTTACGGAGGTCATGCTAGAGGTCTAATTGAAGCGGTTTTGTCACCGCATGCAAGCAGGGGACAAGTACTTTAGTTTATTCCCGCCAGTCTTCTATGCACCAATGGTCCCGTCTGAGGCTACAGTACTAAGGAAATCAGGCTTAACCCACACATGTCAGCATCATCGGCATCGTCTATTATTATTATTATTATTATTATTGGACCAAAAACTCTGTTGATTTGGCCTTGCGGCTGTTGACTTGGCACATAAATAATAAAGAATTGAATTGAATTATTTAATTTTTGTGTATTTCTATGTACTCGTGCTAACTTTGTAATTGGCCACTGTGCTGTTAAGTTTGCACATAAATAAACACGAATTGAATCGAATCGAATTATTATTATTATTAACATTAACGCTAATTACTCATAATTCCGCTTGCTATGGTGGTCTATATCAGTACTACAAAGGAAGTCTAGACAGTCATCTTATGGATGTTGAATCTATAAATTCGTCTGACATCAGACACTAATTAAGTTATTCGTGATAACTATAATATTTATTTGATTCTTAGTTTATTGCTCGACTTATCTGCTGAGGTTTCTTGTTTATTTTGGAACTACTTATGTGGCGTTTATGTTGTACTTTTCCTTATGTTATCTTCAAATAACCGGGCCTATGTGTGGGACCGGTCCTATGCTGACGCTACAATTAAACAGCTGACCTCAACTGTTACTGACACGTGAAACTTAGCTGTGTCCTGTGCGTATAGTAAGAAATCCAAGTCTCGAGGCTGATTTTCCGACACTTTGAAGTATTACCATACGAGGGGGAGGCACTGATTTCCGTGTTATAAGAAAACTGAATGCAATATGCATTATGCCGCTTTTTTCCATGCTTCCAGAAACTTATTAATGTTACTCTTAAGTTCGATAGGCAGCGACAGAATAATCTGACGACACTTAAAATTCAACCTAGTCGTTTTATGGAATATGTTTCTAATTTTAAAATGAAATATGATAGTCCTATTCAGTTGCAAGTTGATAATCAGATTTTTATGGATTCGAAAATTGTTGCAGAATATTTTGCGAATTACTTTAAATCCGTTGTTAATACAGCATGTCTGACAATTATTCATCAGTCTCTTGCTTCAGGCAGATGCTATTTCTGCTGTGGAATTTAGTTAGGCTATAAAGCATCTTAAACATTCTAGCATGTGGGTGCTAATGGAATTCCACCTTTCATAACTGAGGGACGTTCTCATGTCTTTATTCCTTTCTTTTTTAACGCAGATATTTAACCATGTTTTTACTAATGGGACAAATTAAGAGGAGATTGAACTCGGGTAATTCTTGCTACCATTCAGTCCAGAACCTTTTATCTTCTCGTCTGCTGTCCAAAAACATTAAAATTAGATTATACAAAACTATAATTTTGCCTGTGGTTCTGTATGGGTGTGAAACTTGGGCTCTGACATTAAGGGAGGATCATAGACTGACGATGTTTAAGAACAGGGTGTTGAGGAGAATATTTGGACCGAAGAGAGATGAAGTGACGGGAGGTTGGACAAATCTGCATAATTAGAGCTTCATAACTTGTACTCTTCTCCAACTGTAATTAGAATGATCAAGTCAATGAGGATGAGGTAGGCAGGGCATGTAGCACGATTGGGTGAGAAGAGGAATGCATATAGGACATTGGTGGGAAAGCCAGAAGGAAAGAAACCACTTGGAAGGCCAAGACGTAGGTGGGTGGACAATATTAGAATGGATCTTAGAGAGATAGGATGGGATGGTATGGATTGGATTGATCTGGCTCAGGATATGGACCAGTGGAGGGCTCTTGTGAACACGGTAATGGACCTTTGGGTTCCATAAAATGCTGGGAAATTCTTGAGTAGCTGCAGATTTGGTTTCTCCTGAAGAAGGGCTCAGCTCCATAAGTAAGTATAAGTAAGTAAGTTACTTACTAGTGGGACATCTAAACTTTGTGGAAATAGTTTGTTGTTATTTCCGTTAAAAAGGCAGCTGCACTATGATTAGTAATTACGGACTAATCTCTTTCCGGGACAATTTTCAAAGGCTTTTAGACTTATTATCCATCGCCATTTATATTATTTTTCTAATCATCCGCTTATTCCATCAGAAAGTACTGTATTTTTCTTAAACACGGTTCTACTTCGACCAATCTGGTTACCTGTGTTAACCTGTGGTTTGTACTGGAGAGCAAGCGGATTCCTTCTCTTTTGATGTGATGCTTTTGACACTGTTCCACACCTTTTCTTTTGCGTAAATGTAGCAGCTCTGAATGTCCCCCCTTTTTATGTCAGTTTCATAGCTACCTGACCAGTAGATACGCCTCGTTTCGCATCCCTGTTATCATTTCTTCTTCACATTCTATGAAATCTGATGCTCCACAGGTTCCACTTCAGGGACCTTGCCTTTTTTAGCACTTCCATTAGTATTCGTGATTGCATTTGTAATTGCGCCGGTCACGTAGCCGAGCGGTCTAAGGCATGTACTGTCTTCGCTCGCTTGGAAACCGGGGTCGTGGGTTCGAATCCCACTCAGGGCATGGATGTTTAGTTTGTGTGTGTGCGTTTTTCTGTGTTTGTCTACAGGTAGAGGCCTTGCGACGAGCTGATCACTCGCCCAAGGAGTCCTACCGAATGTGTAAGATCTAGAAAAACCGAAGTGAACGGAGAAGTTCATGGAGGTAGGCTTAGGCCCACTGGGGCTGTAGTGTCAAGGAGAAAGAAAAAAAAATTGTAATTGCATTTATCTCTTGTTTGCGGACGATATTGAGATGTGTCGTAATATGAAGAGTGTTACGGATTGTAAGCCTATGCAGTGTGATGCTAATTCAGTGTAGAAATCGTGCTTGGATAGTAGTATAAAAATTGATATTAGTAAAACTACGATTATATCATTCGCTCTAAAACTAACAGTATTAAATGTAATTAAAAATTGTGTAACAATTTAGTAACACGTATCTAGTCTGCTAAAGGTCTCTGAATTTCTTTGGACTCTAAGTTCTGTTTTCACAATTATTTTGATTACATATTTACTCAAGATTTAAAAATGTTAGGCTTGATTCAGTAATTAAATTTTGTTTTTCAGCCAGTGTCTTGTTATTTTGAATAATGCTGTAGTTCCATTTCAGCATGAATTCGCTCCTGTCGCCTGGAGCATCATTACATTCACTGATTTGTCTTTACCCGGAGAAATTCAAAGAAAACTTGCTGCCTTATATTAAGGCAGATTTCTCACTGCCACTTATGAGAGCACTTGTGGTTACAGTTGAGTTCGGGTGAATCAATCAGCACTCGTTGGCGATTCCTTATTTTTCATTGTCTTTACAAACTAACTTAATCGTCCGTTCTTGATACAGTTAGTTTACGCGTACCTATTAGGATAATCAGAGAATTCTGAACTTTTAATGCTCACCATCGCATAAAATTAGGTGCTCAGCTAGGTGTGTTTCTGCGGCAAATTTTGTCTGCAGACGTATTGATGTACAATTATTTAACAGAAAGTTCACTTCGTTAACTCACATTTGTATATGTTAATATCATATGTACTAACTAGTGTGTGTGAAGTGTGTTCAGGTTATTGCTTTTATTTATGTCATTAATTTTCTATTGTGGAACTGTCGGTAGAATGAGAAATGGCAGGGGAAACCGAAATACTCGGAGAAAGCCTACTCCAGCGTCATTTTGTCCACCACAAATCCAACATAATTTGACCCGGGCTCGAACCCAGGCCACTGCAGTGGGAAGCCGGCGACTAGCCACATAATCTATGACGCTGGCTTCTGGTGTCGTGTTATTCCTTGTTGTCAACATCTGTTTATATGTTCTGTTCTACTGCAGTCTGTTTATACAGATCTTTCTGTAATTGGCTTTTTAGCGTTTGTCAAGCATTTTAATACATTGATTGTATTATTAACTTCAAACAGGACACAGTGAATATCAGATTGAAGAAAAATATGTCTATCATATTGTCACTTTCTTAAGAACCCACTTTATATTAATTGATAAAAACTAAAATGTCGAACTGATACATACCCAGCTGATGACGTGGAATACCCTTGACTAGCCCAATAAGTTCTTCTTTTGAAGCGGCTTTTGGTAGCGAATTTACGCCAAGAATGAAGGCAAGAGCAAGGATCACAGTATTCAGCACCTTCATGGTTGTATGTTTCCTTCACTTTGTGAACTGAAACAAACCCTGCAATAATAATCAATTATTTTAAAAGAGTTTATTCTCATTGGTCGTTCGCACCATTAAATCTGCGTTCTGTGAATTATTTAATTTATTAGATTGAAATAGGTCTAGGCCATAAATTTTATATAAAATAAAAGAAATGGATATTTGCAAAGAACTTCAGAGCTTTGAGATGACCTAGTCCAGAGATTCTTAGCTTCTTCGTGACTGTTACTTAGAAAACTAGCCCAACAAATTGCGGTTAATTACTTTTATTGTAATTTCATTTGTCATAGTCTGTTGGACAAAATTGAATATCTACTTTCTTAACTTTTTATGTATTACGTTGGTTATTCAGAAAACGCAGACACGTCGCAAATATCGTTTCCCAGGTTATTTTCTCAGCTTGAAGGTTGATACTGCTTATGCTAATGCATTAATTCTCGAAGTGGGAAAACGGGCAGGAAACAGAGGAAAGTAAATTTCAGTCTCCAGTACGGCATCTGAAAGTTGACGAGATATCTTGTATAAAGATCGAAGGGGAGTAAGTTACTGGAATATCTTAATTCGAACCAGCCGTAATGTGTAACCATGGCAACAAGGTGTGCGGTTAATGAGGGACTGTATATGTGTAAGTATTTGTAAGCCCCGGGATGACCCTCATCATGTCGTTATAACGTATATGAAGTAATTTGATTTCTGATGCTAGGTTGGATTCATGATGTATTTGGTGATAATGGTGACGATTTAAGATACATCTGGTATAAAACTGACTGTGTATGGGATCACTTTCTAGTGACCGTAGACGGGGTTTAGAATGGTAATAGAATTTATTGAGAACTTACAGAACGTAACTACAAATAACTACGAGAATCTCACTGAGTTACACCCTCCAAAGAACACTGCAACTACAGCACACATAAATTCTTCTCACTTTGCTCTTACCGGCTGGCGACTGTCTCACGACTGACTCATTGCTCCAACTTTTGTCTCAACTGACTCTCACTCTCCTACTTATAACATATCGGCGCGGATCGCATAGAAAACACCGCTTTTCTGTTGCTGTTTCCAATTTTTGCCATGAAAACGTGCTTGTTTGCGAAGTCGTTACTCAGTAACGGCTGTAGTATAGCTTCTCCTTTCGCCGTCTTTGTGTAGCAACGGATCTACATGCCACAATACATATACGACACTATGAAGTGAAATGATAGGGCCGACATCACAATTATGAATTGTATTACAGATCTGAGAAATTTGATGGACCGTTATGAACCTTCATCTGATTAATACAGAATTATGTGGAATTTCATGCGCAGTTAAAACAAAGAGAGTGAAAATTTGGAGTAGCACATTTCCACACCCGACTGTAGTATATCCGCGTTATTCTGGCAGAGTTCCTTAAAGTTAGACCTCATTTCATATTGTGCTATGTAATCCATTAGTCTCAAAGAGCGGATTCACGGATTTCGTTGTTTCTCATCTAATTAGTATTACTGCAGTTCTATTGACTCGAACCCTGCAATATGAAAATGAAGCAAACCAGTACCAAGAGCTTACAGGTTTCATTTTGGGAATGATGTTGATAGCAGTGATATCTCCCAACAATTACTACAATCAGTTTTATCGCCCTTGTGAACTGGCACAATAATAGACTCCTTCCACTGATCAGGCATTTTTTTCTTATTCAAAGTAGAAATAATTAGCTTATGGATCTTAGACTCTTAATTGGAATATTTTATGTAAACACAATTAGATGTGCGTTATAGATTTGTAAATCTTATTTGTACATTATAATATGACACAAATATGGTTAGAGTTTTTCGTAAACTCACTGCTGTTTTACTGGAATCACAAAGAGTTAAAATGCTTGTTTCACTGCTGAGTGCTTTTAATGTCATCCCATTGTGAGTTGCTTTAATACGTGTGTTGCAGTTAGTAAGCAATTAATTAATATGAAATAACTCCATTATTTTTTTCTGGAATCACTTACCTCGGTTGTAGAGAAGTGCATAAACACCACGAAGAGAATCTTCCTTTTATACACGAAGATATGAAAGATGAAGATGAGACCATCTTAATCATTTTGTTTCACAGATAACATCATACATCAATCAAGATCACTTTATCAAAATATTTTCTTCATATGTCTTGATTAGATTTAAAAAAAAACGGACACTGAAGATATCTTTATTTGTATGAGTACTAGTGTAATCTGTATCAAGAATGTTGGATTAAGATTGGAAAATATAAAATCATCAATTTTTTCAGTAACACCTGTGTGTGCGCAGTAAGTTGTTCCATAGTCCAAAAATATTTTGTTTCTTAATCTCTCTAAGCTCCCCAGAGCCCGGATCCATCGCTAGAACTTTAACACAATCAAACTCATTTCACTACTTCGCACCTCATTGGTTTAAAAAAGTCCCATCTGCACCTATGCCTGTTCAGTTTAGCATCTCTAAACGAGCGCTATTGAAAAATATTAATTTCTTTCCACATAACTTGTGCTACATGATTAGCCCACATTAACTTCTCTAAAATATAAGTGTAAATATAAATATAAAGGTTCATATTGTTGGATTTCAGGCTCTGACGTTGCTGACTATGAAGTGTAAGGTGTTCTGGGCTGTAGCACCGAGTAATTCGGGGATAGATCGACGTTTCAGAGCAATGTATAGCTTCCATCCTCAAAATCTAAGAGTAAGCCAGTAGAACGGCGAAACTTTTAATAGTCCGAATGCTCACAGAAGTGAGGGGTGCTGAATTGTCGTATGCTGCACCGAGGAGACAAGTGCTGTTTTCATACAGTAAGGGGGGATGTTTCTCATTGAAGCGTGAAATAATATAGTACTATATTGTAATTTCGGAGCTTTTATGGGGAAAGTTCTTTTAGTACAAAGGACTTTTTAATATGAGGTATTAATTTTGAGCGTGAACTGATTTACGATGCTTATGTTACATTTATTGTTAAAAGTAGGAAATGTTTTATAATCTATACAGAATTTAAACGGCACTCAAAACTTGTTAGATTGAATTATAATTGTCTTTGATGCGATTTCATGTGTTTTCGATTCAGTATTATGTTGAAGAATCTTTTTATGAACCAGAGAAATACCATACGTGTATATTTGTTTTTGTAGGAAAGGCTCAGTGAATTAAATTGAAAAATTTAACAAACAATTTATAGTGTAATGTAAATTGAGTAAAGAAGGGCCGGAGTCCCCTCCCCAAGCACGGAGTTACGGGGTGGGGCTTAATTTAATTTTTATCTATCTATGGCTCTACGGTCTTTGTTGGACATTGACCGCTTTTTCAGTTTATTGATCTATACGCAGTTGGTAGGACTTCTTGGACGGGGGATCAGCCGTCACAAGGCTACTTCCTGCACATAGAACAATATAAACAGAACGCACAGAGATATCCATACTTTGAGTGGGATTCGAACCCACGATCCCAGTGTTAGAGCAAGCGAAGACAGTTCATTCCTTAGACCGCGCGGCCACTGTGATCGGTTTAATTTAATTTCACTCAACTCAGTAATGGTTCTCGTTCGTTAAAGTGTGTATAAACCCTGTAGGGACCAATTGAAGAGGGTCAGGTTATCAACAAACCCTTAAGGGAATAAATTTTAACTTGTAATATTGACACGTAATATGCTGCCTAGCCTAAGCGTGTGAAACCCTATTATACTCATACGGAAGGGGACAGTCAGTGGCGCCCAAGGAGTGTAACAACCTAGAACATATGGGATTTGCGGTAATATCAGAGGCACAGCTCTGGTTATGAGGAGTTCTGTCTTCTGGGATATAACGCTGTGTAGTCTTTTGAAAGTCAGCCTATGGTCCGGAGGAACATATCGCCTCCATCTTCAAGGCTGATGAATAAACCAAACAATAAAGGAGCATTAAGTAGGTAGTAAGCTAAACAGTCTTGCTTGCTTTCTGCTTTATGCTGGTATCTTGCTTGGTTTTCTCAGCGACACTGAGAAAATATGTTTCTCCGAAATTTTGGTTGACTTTCAACAGACAATGCGGCATTGTACTCCAGAAGATAAAACTCTTCAGCCTAAAACAATAAGTTCTGGGAGGAACTAATTGCCTTCGTTCCTTTGATACGGTATGGACACCAGAAAATGACGCCAACGATTCTTTGTTCCCGCGGGAAATTCTTTACCGAGTTGTTACCTATCCACGACAGTGGAATACGCAGAACCACAGACACAAGCGTACAATTCTTCTATTATTGCGTGTATTCGTTGCAGCGGTCACGTGTTTACTGAGTCGTTGCCTAGTTAATGAAAGGAGGGCTACTTAGGGTTGCGTAGCAACGATATGAAATATATGCATACAGACAGACTGATGGGAGGGATTTATGAAGTACCCCGTTGAGATAGGCTCAGATGCCATGATATACATAACAAGGTTCATGAGGACTGGTTCAGGCATTTAAAAGTTAGCAAGAAGGAGGATTTACAGACACAGCATGGAGATCAAAGAAGCCTAATTTAATTTCTTTTTCAAAAAAGGGAAGTAGGCTAAATATATTTCCTAAGTTTTTACACGTCCAGAGATAGAGTGACTTGAACTGAAACTGAAGTATTAATTGATTAATGGAGCTTCTGCCCGAGAGGGTTGAACGTGGGAATCTGAGAGGTCTGGTGACGCCATCATAGAAGCAACACCATGTTGTGAAATGTGAGGCCGGATCACCTGGTTCCTACTGAGGCAGCACAGCTTTGCTATCAACGCCATTCTTTTTTCCTTGGCACTACAGCCCCAGTGGGCCTAGGCCTACTTCCATGAACTCCGTTCACTTCGGTTTTTCTAGATGTTACACATACGGTAGGACTCCTTGGGCGAGTGATCAGCTCGTCGCAAGGCCTCTACCTGTAGACAGACACAGAAAAACGCACACAAACATCCATGCTCTGAGTGAGATTCGAACCCACGATTCTGGCTTCCGAGCGAGCGAAGACAGTGCATGCCTTAGACCGCTCGGCTACCGTGACCGGCCCTGCTCTCATATAGCTGAGTTTATTTCCAACGCTAGTCTACTTGCACTTACTCTCACTGTTTCTTCGCTTGCGGATTTTCTAATTTTTCCTTCCGCCCTGAAGATGGAGGCGATAAGTTTCTCCGAAACGTCGGTTCACACAAGATTTACACGGCACCACATCCCAGAAGACTGCTTTCTTCATAGTCACCGCCGTGAAAACCTCAAATCTTACGAAGATGAAGTTGTTCATTTGCTTAACTAATTAAGCGCTACGCCATGAAGACATGGGGGGGGAGTGGTTATATAGATCCACGCATTCTTGTCCTCGGCACTATTTGGAGTTGTTTGGTCAGCTCCACACCCTGGCTACCCCTTATACCCATTCGATAGGAGGTTAGCTGGTCCTCATAACCGGTCTGGACGACGTGGAGAGAAGAAAAAACTTGCCCCTACCGGGACTCGAACTCCGCACCCTCGCCAGTCGCTATACCGACTGCACTATCCTGGCTCCTCAACTTATGAAACAATTAATTACGAAATTCGTTTATTTTAATTTTTGGTGCTTTAAATTGTGCAAAAAACCATTATTGGACGTACGGACAGAAAACTTAAGCACATGCAAAGGCACGGATATAAACTTTCCAAATGATCCCGCAAGATATTAAGAAGGATAAGGACCTACATTTTGAATTGCGGCTATGGTTAAAATGGCTGAAATACATAGGCAGAATGAGTATGAGAGATGAGCCATAAAACTGGCCCTTGCACTGCGACCGTCAGTGATCTATTGTGCTTTACATAGACAGAAGCCCGTGTCGTTTCTCACAATGATTCAGTCTCAGGCCATTCCATCTGGGAAATTTGGCTGAGAGACTGGTCATGGGCAGATTCTTTACAGAGTTCTGCCGTTTGCTCTTGCCAGTCATCAACCCACAAGGGCTGCATTCTCATCATTACCGAGGACTAACGCACTAGGCTCAATCACAGCTACGTTCTCAAGAGACTTGTTCTCATCCATCTCCTATCATTGGTACTGTCCGTATATTTGCGGTATTGTTAGCTCATTCGGTCATTGGTACTCCTGTCACTTTACTGTAATTGTATATGCGAAATTATTACTACATCCTATCTTTGCTGTAGTAGCGAAATTAGTACTGTTTCACGCTTGATTTTCTAGAACTATTGTACACTAAAATTGATTATGCATTGTGGCAGTTATGTACTTACGTTTATCCATTTCCTATTATTTAAACCTAACATAAGAAGAGTTATTTTTTGTGAATCAGACTTTTTCCAGCAACGGCATCACAGTAACTTTAATAATTGCCTACGAACTAGAGCTAAGTCAGAGAGATTGGAAGACTACAGCTTGTAACACTGGGCAGAAGGATGATATATTAAATGTAAAGCTATCCCTGCGCTTAACTAATTAAACACTACGCTGTGAAGGCGTATGGGGGAGTGGGTGTATAGATTCACATTTTCTTGACCTCGGCAGTAGTTGGAGGTGAGTGGCCAGCTTCACGCCCCTGCCCCCGGGGAAAGAGCATCCGGTACTCATTGGATAGGAGGTTTGATGAACCCAAGTGCCAGTCTGGACGACTTGGAGAAAAGAAAATTCTTGCCCCCACCGGGACTCGAACGCCGACCCCTCGTTCGTTCAGCCTGTAGCCAGTCGCTATACCGACTACGCTATCCCGGCTCCGGATGATATATTACACTATGATGTATATAATGAATATTATAAAAGAAATATTGGATGACAGAGAAAGAGATGTCTCAAATACAATTCGTAAATAATTACAAACAAAAATCTACTTCTTATGGTTAACATGGTGATATATTAGTTGGCGCCGCTTTGGTCTCAAATCATGACGAGAATGAATTAACTACTTGTGAGATTAAGCCCGACTGGATACAGTATTGCTGATAACACAACAAAAAAGCAAGGTCATGACTTTGAACTTGATAGTGAAGTTTGAAGGTCAGCGTCCAAACAGTGAACTACAGTAACTGTACCAGAAAATCATAACTT